ACTACGCTACCAGAGCTCCTTATATAGGGTCGCTATGGGCTGGAATTGATTCAACAGCACTTAACAACAACAACAAAACTCTGTTGTATCCTACAATTTTGAATATTAATTTTGAAATATTTTCTGATTTATTTCATGGTTTCTGATTGTTGTTAAGCCCATGAATTACGCAGAAGCATGTTGTTTAATTGATAAATATTTGAGATTTTCCTAGCTATCTAACTGCTATTGATTTTTAATTTAATTATGTTGTGGGCTGAGATCATATTCTTTACAGTGTCTATTTTAAATTCATTGAGACTTGTTTTATGGCATACAATATGATTGATTTTGGTGATGTTTGAAAAAATATATATTCAGCATTTGCTGAATGTGATGTTCTATGAATATGAGGTCTTGAAAAAAATTAAAGAGAAAATTCAAGTCTTGAGTTTCAAATTCAAGGATTCATGAACAAAAGATTGAATGACAAAGGAAGCATGTAAAGAAGATGGAAATAATGCAGTCACTACATGAAAAAGAATGGATAAACATTCAACCATTTCAGGATCAAGAACCAATGAAACTGAGGAAGAAGTTCAAACCTCACGGAAGGCACTGTAGAACAACAAGTTTCTAGGAATTGAACGGAATACTAATTGAAATATTTCAACCAATGGATGCCACACTGTGAGTATTGACTTGTCCATATCAAGAAATTTGGAAGGTAGACTGGAAGAGGTCCATATTTATACCCATTCCAAAGAAAAATGATCAGCTGGAATATGAAAATTATTGAACAATATATTCCACCAACACAACGTTCTCCACCTTACTTTGCTGACTAGGAACTGGGATCTTAAAAGCTCATGAGCAGCCATCTATGGTGCAACTATTGATCTCTCCATGTGTGGAAGAAAGAAGGGTGATGAGAATTGAAGATGTGTGGAATCAGTAAGTCCAATGGACAAACGACATGTGTACATCAGTCTCCACGACTGTGAGACATGAAGATCTAGATGGTGTCCAGCTACCACTGGCTTTGAAAGGCATCACATTAGAAAGTCCCACATAGAGTGGGAGAAAATGTGGAACAAAACTCAAAATGATAAAAAATGACTAGGCTTACTGGTCAGAGAGAGACTAGAGGAATTTAAGACTCGGCCACCTTTCAGGGCTGGAATGGAACTCGCCCTCATGACTCAGTTTTCAACAAAGCAAGCTATATAGTGGGGGCATCAACATTAATAAGGTATACTCACCATGGAATGGTCAACTGTTCAAGATCAAAAGGGCAACATTCATCTAAGAGCAAAGTTGAGAAGGGTTGGGAAGGAGGGTGGAATGGAAATAAAAACCATAGGGAGGAAGAAGGATCACTGTTGTTTCAGGGAGGGGATTGCAATCATTGAGATGAAACAAAGTGTGTGATTTGTTGAATGTAAAACTCACGACCTTGTCTGTGAATTTTCACTCAATTCACACACATAATATATTATTTTTTTTTAAAAAAGGAGGAAAATGATACCAAACAATATTAATACTGCAAGGTGGAAAAATTTTGCTGAGGATGATTTTTTAATGACTGCAGCATACACAGAGAACTGCTAGAAGTTTATACTGGATTTAGAAGAGGACATGAAATGAGGACTATCATTGTTAAAGTCACTTGGATCTTGGTTGAAAACAGAGACTACCAAAAAGGTATTTACCTGTGTTTTATTAATTACACAAAGGCATTCAACAAATTATGGATAACATTTTGAAGAATGGGAAATCTAGAGCACTTTGATTGTGCTCATGAGGAACCTGTACATAAATCAAGAGACAGTCATTCAAATAGAAGACAAGGCTACTACTAGCCATGATGTAAAATTGGACAGAGTAGACAGCAGGGTTGCATCCTTTCACTTGTTTATTCAGTTTGTGTGTTGTTATTGTTGTCAAGTGCCATCAAGTTGGTTCTGACTCATAGCAACCCCGTATACAATTTCTGAAAACTGTAAGTCTTTGAGAGAGCAGGAAGTCTCGTCTTTCTCCCTCAGAATTGCTAGTGGGCTCAAATTGTTGGCCTTTGGTTAGTAAGCCAGAGCTTATTCTACAGAGCCACAGAATTCCCATTCAATCTGCATGCTGAGCAAATCATGCTAGAAGCTGCACTATATGAAGAAGAATGTGACCTCAGGATTAGAGGAAAATTCATTAATAGCCTTTGATACAGAGAAACTACAGCCTTCAATTTGGATTACAGTAGATTGTAAAGAAAATTGAAACCGTCACAACTGGATACATAAACAACATCATGACAACTAATGAAGCAACTAAAGATGGCAAAGATTTCATTCTACTTGAATTCACAATCAACACCCATGGAAGCAAAGGTCAAGAAATCAATTAACATTTTACGTTTGAAAAATCTGTTGCAAAAGACTTCTAGAAAAATCTTAAAAAGGAAAGCTGGCCTTTCTCTCTCTTCCGGTCCCTGGCGTGCCGGGAGTTGCGGGCCTCGGGGCAGACATGGCCAAGTCCAAGAACCACACCACACACAACCAGTCCCGAAAATACCATACAGAAATGGTATCAAGAAACCCTGATCACAACGATATGAGTCTCTCAAGGAGGTGGACCCCAAGTTTCTGAGGAACATGCGCTTTGCCAAGAAGCACAACAAGAAGGGCTTGGATGCATGTGCCGAGGCTATCAAGGCTCTAATAAAGCCCAAGGAGATCAAGCCTAAGATTCCAAGGGGTGTCAACCGCAAGCTCAGTCGACTGGCCTACATTGCCCATCCCAAGCAGGGGAAGCGTGCTTGGGCACGCATTGCCAAGGGTCTGAGGCTTTGTCGGCCAAAGTCCAAGGCCAGTGCTAAAACTAAGGCTGAAGCTTCAACCAAGGTCTCAACTAAAGCTCCAGTCAACGCCTCAGCTAAAGCTCTAGCCAAGGCCTCAACTAAAGCCCCAGCCAAGGCCTCAACTCCAGCCCCAGCCAAGGCCTCAACTC